CCTGATTATTTTTCTTTAAGCCATTGTTTGGGGTTTTTTCCTCTCCCATGCAACCAGTCCTTCTAGTCGGTCCGGTTGCCTCGATGCAGTCGGTTGGTTTGGCCTTATCTAATCTGAGTCAGGCTCCTTATCTGTATGATCAAGACTCTAATCAGCCGGCTTTGTCCAGACAACAAGGGGCCAACATAAGGCAAAGAGAACCCGGAGGTCCTACTGCTGCCTCTGCTATAAAAGTCTAATTTGTAGAGCGGGACGTGCCCTTTCAAGTCAGCGGTGGCGGCGTGGCTGAATGGTGACGGACTCACCACAAAGATATCTGGTTTAGATTTTTTTTTCTTTTTCCAGTCTGCTGTAAAATAAAGGTTGTTTGTGATCCTGTTTTTGGTGAGATGTGTTGGATTCCTGATCATTAAATTAAAAGTGTGCATTCAGATTTAGAGATAACTTCCTTTTTTTTTTTTTTGCAGCAACAGGCTTTTGGAGGAAAAGTGCCAAAGGATCTCTGGCTTGCATCACAACATCGCAGGTATTTGCTTTTTTTAAATTTTCCCCTCTGTGGCTGCTGAATCTTTATCCAACAGGTTTACACATCCTGCAGCCCGCCACCCTGCAGACCTGCCCTTATCTCAACCTCGCCAGGTTGCTCCCGGCCGCCACAGATGGAGCCCATTCTTGTGCAAACCGCAGGTTGAGCTCTGATTGTCCTGATGGCGGCCTTTGTCTTACAGTAATGCCCCCTCTGTCATCACGAGAAAGGCCTGCTGACTAAGCTAATTTACATGTATTAATTAAGGCCTATAATGAGCTCAGCATGACGGGGCATTTCAATGCATTCCTCTGTTATTGTGCAAACTCTGCAGAGCTCCGTAGGTTTCGAGGTCTCGGCCATTCAGATGGGCTACAGATTGCAGATAAAGGACTTAAACACACAGAGAAAACCAGGTCGGCATCCCCCCTCCTCCACTGCAACACACACTGAGCTGCTAATGAGAAATAAACAGGCTGTTAGCTGCACTTAATACAATAAAAAAGATCACGACTGCAAAAAGTAGAAACAAAAACATTTATAGAAGTACAAAATGCAAAAAAAAAAAAAAACCTGTACAGATACAACAAGTGAAGTATAAAAAAACACTGAAGTGAATAATTTTTCATTGAAAATAAAAGTTTCACCCACAAGGTGCATGTAAGCTGTAACATGTCAGAGCAATTACATTTCATTTGATCACATAAATATTTAGGAACTAAACACTATAAGTAAGTTTACAAAAGTATGTAAAGCAGACTGCCCTGGAATGGTTTTAATCATCTTTGCTCGTTTGTTGATGTGTAAATGCTTATATGGTTGTTACCGTCTCGTACCGCAGCGCAGCGAAGCCAGAGGACCGTGAAAAAACAGCCGCAACCTCAGCGCATTAACATCAAAGTGTATTTGCATAAGAGCTTGTTTTCCTTTCTCGTCCTCGGGCTTCAAACGCTGAGCTGCAGCGGCTGGTCTTATTACCTCTTTGGTTTAAAAAAAATTTTAAAAAAAAAATCTGACTACGGGGACCCGGCCTCACAACGAAAGCCAACACACATGGCAAATAAAGGCAAGGTAGAAAAAAAAACAAAAAAACATGTTGAGGGCACAAGGCTCTCCCTCCTTAATTGTACCTGAAGGGAAATCCCTTTAAATAGTAGCTGGCAGAGGCAGCGAGCTGGCAGGAAGATCAAACAGTCACTGAGCAGAAGCCCTATAAATACATCACATTCACTTGCTCACTTCAAACGCCGCCTCGTCGGCTCGGTCTCCACGCTGCGCTCAACATGTTCACGAGGAGAACGCAGGTCTCTCTTCTTAAGCGTAAAACTCTGCTTTACTTCCACATCGCTCGGCCGCACGTCGGCTCCCGACTTCGGCTGGACCGCGGTGATGGTCACACCGTGGGAGCCTCCAGAGCTTTGGTTTCCTTCACGTACACCTCTGACGTCCCATCAGGCACCAGGTGGCTGAAGCTGCTCCGGAAGGAGGCGAGGAGGCGACCTACAGCCAACAAGATATTTAAAAAGAATGAGGGAGAGAGTCATGCTAAATATGGCGGCTGCATCAATACAGTGACGTGTCCTGACTTGACGTCCTCTCCAGCTGTGTATATTTCTGCTGTAAGAAGCCTCATCAAAAGGTTCAGAGGAGAAGCAGCTGATTATGATCACTTAGCGATGTTAGTCATGTGGCAGGTGGGGCTTTGTGGGGAATTAAACACGATGATTGTGCACCAAGACCTTCCCAAGGCCTGATTAATACCTGTTTAATGTCTCTTATTCAGGATGGAGTGAGATGAGAGAGCATATTTCAGCTCAGACACCAGTAGAGGAGGATTTCACTCACCCGTCCACGTCTTCTGTCCCGTCAGAGTGAAGCTGTTGCACTGAGAATGGGAGTTGCAGATGTGCGCCGCCTCCTTGGCGCTGTGGACCGACAGCACGCAGCCCTGCTGGCTGTAGGACGGCCAGCAGCGGTACTCCACGTTCCCAGAGGTCCCCATACCTCGCATCACCGTGTAATCTAACCACAGGAGGGGGAGATGCCACTTCAATACACGAGGCTACTGAAAGATTTTGAAGCGCTCTCTGAGGATAAGATGAAAGTTTAATGATCCCTGAGGGGAAAACTAATACAGAGCAGCGCCGAAAGAAGAGAATACAGATAAGAACCAAGTACAAAGAAAGCAGGTTAAAAGTAAAGATGCGATGCAACCGTAAAGCTCCACCGGACTTAAAGGGATTTCTGATGTGCTTGTGAGTGACGGATTTGAGGATAATTAAAGGTCAGACATTTTTAATGGTTGAATATCAAATCAAATCCAGTTTATTGTCATGTTGCTGTACATACGCAGCACTACAGGTGAGATGAGAGAGTGTTTCTTCAGGATCCAATCACTTAAAGCGATTTAAACAAAGAAGTGTTTGTATGTCTGGATCAGCAGCTCAGCATGACTCAGTTTTAGTGTGAATATTCAAGAATCATGAATGTTTGCATGTTGTTTGGATTTTTGCTGCCAGATAAACCTGCAACTAAAAATATTTTCATTTATCACTAAATCTGTAATTTATTCTCTAAATTAATTAACGATTTGGTCGATTAAAAAAACAGAAAATTGTTTAAAATTAAAATTATCAGAGCTCTTTAAAAAAAAAAAAAAAAAAAACAACCCTCCAAATTATTAAAACAAATTCACATGAAGAAAAAAAGCACAAAATTCAATTTTGCTTAAAAAAACATGACACTTGTTGCTGAACCAACTAACGAAGCGTCTAAATGCTTTAAAATGCAAAACTTTCCGCAGCTATAATTAAGTCAAAAACTCCCTTCGGCACCAGCTGGAGGTTTTTCCCTCAAAAACTACAGAAAAAAAAAAAAAAAAGCATCGTTTCGCTTCAGCTTCCTAACATTTGCGTTACATTCATCATTATAATTCTTCCAGTCAGACGTCTTGTGGATCTGGCCTTAAATCATCTGCTACACATTAGCAGGAGCCATGAGAGAAAAGCACCAACGCATATGCCTGCACACACACACACACACTCTCACACACACACTCACACACTCCAGAAATGGACAAAAGCCTGGTCTGTGAGCCTGTACGGAGGAGGCGCACTGTTACAAACTGTTAACCTTCCTAAATGGCAGGAGGCGGTGTGTGTGTGGGGGAGTATTGTTAAGAGGAAAAAGACACGAGGATCTGCCTTCTGGGTCTGAGAAAAGAGAACAAGGAGAAGGAGTGTTTAGAGGATCCTTCTCAGGGGAAGAAGGGGGGAGAAGCAAAAAAAAGAAAAAGAGAGGAGGCCTGTTGGGGAGCTAAAGGGTGGCGGACCTCAGCTGTCGAGGAGACAAAGACGTGTAAGTGTTTAAAATGACAAACGGCAGATTTCCGTCTATTTATTAATACGCATATATCTTATCGGGTAAATCCACTCAGACGCTGCCTTCCTGCAGCGATTCTTTTTAAGGAACTACATCTTTACTCCATCACATAACAGATGAGCTCAGCTGTGGAAAAGCTTCATCCACATCACCAATGAATCTCCATCTGTCAGCAATTTCAAATTAAAACTTGGGACTTGATGAGCGTCACACACACACACACACACACACACACACACAGACACACACATTATTAGACTTCTTAGAGTTTCCATTTGGTTTCTTTTATAAAGCTTTGGCTGCAATGACTTCTTTTTTTTTCTCTCTTTTCTTAATGAGCCCATGTGGGTTTTTTTAATATACAATTGCACAATCATTGATTTTTCTTTTACCTCTTTCTGCTTGTTTGTGACAGATTTGGGATAAATAGAATTATTTGCCTATTGGATGAGAATTAGATAAGAAGATCAATATCCCTCCATTAATTATGGAGTTAATCAGGAGGGGAAACGTTCACTTAGCGACTAGAAACGGGGATAAAACGACCTGGTTAGGGGGAAAAAAATTACTAACATATATTTACATCTTATTGGTTTAACCTGAAGCGTACAAACAACCAGGAGAAACTTTAAAAATAGTCTATTCAACTAACAAGTTTTTAAATTAACCAAACAATCTGTCAGATGTGTTCTTACTGGACATGAGCGTTACCGTCCAAGTCAAAGAATAAACTAAGCTCAGTTAAAGTTAACTAAAACAAAACCAAGCTTGACCTCCACCCCCCCCTAAAACATACCACTAATTCAGCTAAACCTTCAACACGGGGAAATAACACACACACACACTTTCTTATCTCACACACACACACACACACACACACACACACAGTCAGCAGCAGCAGTTGACTCCTGGCACCTCCTTGTTAAGCTGGAACGTTCCCTCCCGGTGTCGGCCTCAGCGCCGAGGCCTCCTTACCCCGAATCTGTGATTAAATTCACAAAGCGCTGCTATATAAACAGTCCAGCATCTGGGGGGACGGAAAATCTCACCGCAGGAACGCAGCCAGTCGTTCTGTTATTAATATTTCATACGGCTGAGAGGGACGGCGGGAGGGTGAGGAAGGGTGAGGAGGAGGAGGAGGAGGCTAAAGTGGAGAGAAGAAAAGTGAAGGACTTTCTGTGCTCGAACGCCGAGAGGAGACGAGAAGTTTGTGGAAAATATACGACGGTGCTGAAAGGCGACGAGCTACGAACGTTAAATACAGTTTTTCCCCTCTATGAGGAATAACATTAAAAAAACGTTAAAGGCAACAAAACTAAAGAACAACTCTGCCGATCCCAGCTCTGTTTTTTTTAAATGAACCCTGTGAGCCAGAGACATGCAGGATTAATCCCACTTTGTTGGTCTTGTCCTCTCATTCCAGCTGCCTAATAAACCTGTCAAAACAGCCCAAACCCCCTCCTTCATTTTTTTCCCTCCCCCCTCAAGATACAAAATGAAAACAGAGGTGTAGATTGTCTGACTTTCTCTGTAAGTGGATAAAAAAAAGCAGCCAAGCAAGAAGAAAAAGCTCTGTGTAGTTTTTTTTTTTTCATTCCTCGAGCTCGTACCTTTGACTACTGATGGAGGCAGGTTGTCCAGGTGTAGGCCAGACTTGTAGAGCAGGAGGATGTGTTCAAAGGCCTCCAGCGTCTGATTGATGTCAGCTTTCAGCTCCCCTGGACACACACAATGAGTTCAGTGTGACAAAAGATAGAAGCAGGCCAGTCAGCCAAAATGGGCGATTTGGGTTTTTTTTTTTTTCCCCCTCGTGTTGTTGACTCTCCGCCGTCTAATCCCAGTCGTGTGATCTCAACACATAACAACTTGTATTCATTACCGCGTTACATGTCATGAAGCATCTTGTCGAGCTCAGCAAATGAAGCACTTAGACGGAGGCATGTCATCACACGACTCCCGTAATGGAATGATTCGCTTTCTGATCTCCGACAGTTAACATCCCCATCATGTCAAGACGACTCTCGTCCTCACCTGTGGAGTTCATGATGTGGTCTACCAGGTGTGTGAGGCCGGGCGGGGCCTGGTGAGGCAGCAGGTAGGTGAAAAAATACCTGGGGCCAGGCAGAGACAACTCATTCAGACAGACAGAAAGACAGACAAGTCCCGTCACATAGTTCCCACAGAACATGACTTGCCTCACATGGGTGTTAAAACAAACACAGTCCATAAAGCTGTCAAAGCACTGAGCCCCCTTTTAAAAGGGAAACGCTCGTCTTCTGCGCTGAAGCTAACGATGTATCATCACACTTTCCTCCAGCTAACTGCACATTTCCAGCTGCACATCCTTATTCCGACCATTTTAGGTGTCAGCCTGGCCTGTATTTAAGCAGTTATCTATGTAGCTGCTGCTCCATCCATCCATCCGTCACACATCCATCACGCTGTTAAACTGTCACTTCTTTCCCTCTTTTGGTTTTACCTGTAGGCATTGTAAATGTTCCTCTTCTCATTCAGACCCTCGCACACCCCCCGAGCCGAGCAGGGCAGAGTGAAGTTCCTGTGCGGGAACTCCAGAGTGCAGTCCGCCTCGGTCCGGCAGGCGGTCTCCTCGGCGCTGGCGTCGTCCAGGTCCGTGAGCTTCAGCTCGCCGGACACGGTGACAAACTGCCGCGGCTGGAAGTCCAGCAGGGCCACGGAGCCCAGAGGAGACTGGGACAGGAAGTGGAGGAGCCTGACCAGGTCCAGACACACCTGGAGATCAGACATGTCAAAACTTGATCAGCTGGACGGATGACAGAAACACAGCGGCGGTGCAGCGTGTTGGGGTCGCAGCCAAAAAACGCTAAAAGATTGACAGAGTTCATCAGAAAGTGTCGGCAAGAACTGGAATAACTCTGCAAGGCTTTTATTAAGTAAAGATAAAACAAAAAAAACCCTGATTCCAGCTCTTCACTGTGAGAATCTGATTATTTCCTGCTGGGGGGCATCACTTCAAATCTTACTTTTGTCACTTATGGCATTAAGTTATTCAAACAGAGATCATCTGAGGCTGTTCTTATTAATGCTATTATCTTTGTTTTCTGTGCCATTTGTTAAAGTTAAAAGCTACCAAGCTTCATTTAATTCATGGAAGAGTTGGAGCACGAATCATTGCTGGTGTGGATCCAGATCGTTTTCTTTAAAATTGTAAGATAGGATGTTACCCTCAGCGGACTGTGCTCTCTCAGCACCCTTCCAGTTTTTAAAATAAAATATTTTCTGATATTTTACAGATTAAACTGAGCTGCCACTCCTGATTAATCTCATTTATTATTAAACTGACAACCCATTTACATATTTGTGCCATAAAATAAGCAGAATAAGCTCAAGTTGACACATTACAGCCGTTTGTTTGTCAGAATCAAAGGATGCAAAATTCAAAAATATTCAATTTTCTGCCAAAGAAGACAAAAAAAAACTCACTATAAAAACTGACAGTACTTTTTCCAGCAGTTTTGCTTAAAAAACTATTTAAATAATCAAAATTGGATTTATTTTTATTCAGTATCAGCTCAACAGATTCATTATTAAAAACTGCTTTAAGACTCATCAGTAGTGAAATAAAATCACCCGTCGTTGCTGCACTTGTAGCTGAAAAGTTCAGTTTTTGTGTTTTAACAAAATTGAATGAAATGGTTTATTTAGCTTTATGTTGAATGAAAACCTTTTTTTTAAGAAAATGTTGGCGCACCTCAAAAATCTGAGGAATCGCGCTAAAAATCGACTTGTTTTTTCCTGAAAAGACGACACATCGGACGATGTAATTAAATCTCACTTTATGGCGAAAAACAACTAAATATAAAGAAGCTTGAGGCTCGAGAAAGCATTTGCTTTTAAGACGTTTCACCGACCGCATTTGCAAGCCATTTCCTGAGCCTGTTTTTATAGCACTCCTTAAATCCTATAATAAAAACAGAAAGAGAAAATAAGTAGGCTACCAAAGGCAAAATAAAGGCATTAGCCACGCGCTGACAGAGCATGAAATGCTGCTGTCACACTACAAACATAGCTGCAGTGTTAGGTAATGCCCCGAGTCTCTTGGACGTCACTTGGTTGGGATGGGAGCACTGTAAAAACAGGGCTGGGTGAAACCAAACACCCCTGGATTACTGTAGGCTGCGCAGATGCAATGTAGCCGAAAGAGGCCGAGCCGCTCGAGGGGGGTATTATGAACGGCTATTTGGGTGATGCAGCGAAATGAGGCCCATAGCTGAGATGATACTTGCAGAATGCCGGGTTTCTTTTACTAATCCAAAAACAAAACATGCAGACTCAGACATTCTTTCCCCTCCCAGCCATTCTCTCTTTCAAACACATCCATGCATGAACACACACACCCCCACACACACACATATTGTGGATCTCTGGAGTGTAAATTCAGCCTCTGTTGACTCTCAATGTGAGCATACCTGTGATGGGGGTGGTGTGTGTGTGTGTGTGTGTGTGTGTGTGTGTGTGTGTGTTAGGGATGAGATGACATTCCCAGCCAGCAGTGGATTAACTCCAAGACCCATCTCCATTCCAACCACGGCCTGATCAAATACTCTGAGGGACAGATGTCAGACCTCCAGGAGTTTCAAATGTCCGCCTCCCTCGTCTTTCAGCCTTCATCTCCTCCGCCAACAAGAGCAACGGCTCGCACATGCTCCACATACAATATGCGTGTGAGAGAGACGCCCGCAGCCTCCCAGAGTGCAGAGCGGTGTCAGAGATAAATGACAGAGCATGCACATCGACAGCTGAGGAGCCGCTCACCCTGAATCTGTCCTCCCAGGGGCTCTGCAGCAGCTGGATCATCTGGAGAGGATTCCCCTGCTCCAGAATGACTGTGACTCTTCCTCCCTCTCCTCCTCCTCCTCCTCCTCCTCCTCTTCCTCCTTGGCCTCCTGCACAGTGGCCCTTGAGCTGCAGAGTGGAAAATAACTGTGGTTAGTCACAGTAAAGCAGAGACAGTCTTGGTGGTAAAAAACGGCCACTGCTACTGTTTAATTTTGCATTTTAATTCTGCAGTAAAATCAGGTCAAAGCGACTCAAAGTTCTGCTCAGGACACGGTGTTCTGCCAGCCTGGCGCCCTGCAGCTCCGACTTGTGACGGTAAAATCACAGTTCAGCCGACTGCAGGTTTGTGCATTTAGGAAATATATCGATTGAGCCGTCACAGAACTGCCTGGGTTTTAGACACAAGCCCGTGGGTTTAGTTCAAACTGGTTCTAAATTGGGCCGTAATGGCTTGAGTGAATAAGCGCAGGGGGTTTCAGATGCATCCAGGGATAGTAGAGAGGACAGAGGCACATTGTCTGCTCTTGCCAAACTGGACCCAAAGGTCAGAGCAGGGTCAGTGATTTTAATTTAATTACATGGGAAGGCCCTGCAGAGCTAATGAAACCTTTCATCCAGTTCACTGTGTGCCAGACAAAGGAAAATGTGAGCAGTGGTACATGGATTATGGAAAGTCTTAATAACAAACTGCAGCAGTTCTAGTGCTTAGAAGTCAGTAAAGTCAGCTTCCAAAGCTCCTTATAGTCACTAAGTTAAACAAATACACAGGGAAGCACACTGCTGCCCAACATGTGGGCTGTGACTTTTTCTATTTCAGTGGATAAAAAGTTTTCAAAAGGGTTTTAAATGTATACACTGAAGACAGAGAGGAAACTTCACCTTTATGACATTTGGATGCTTCAGTCGTTGCAGCAGGACTATTTCTTTCTGCAGCTTGTAAGAAACGAGCTCACGGCAGCCTTGAGGATCTTTGAAATCTTCCAAACACTTGCCCATGTCGATGCCCTGCTCGTTGACGAGTTTCAGCGCCACAGGCTGACCCGCAGCTAGATTCACTTTGACAACCAGCTTGGTGTATCCAGACCCGAGGATCTCCACCGCCTGCATGTCCACCAGAGAATCGCAACCCATTTCATCCAGATGCGCTTTCCTGGAGCCAAGTGTGATCTCATTCCACAGATTGTAATCCAAAGTCGAGTCCAGCGCTCGGGAAGAATGTCGAGTTTCCTCCAACTCTCCGTTTTCATCACCGTCCTCAGGTAAAAGCAGCGGAATAATTTCTTTTCGCCTCTCGTTGAGCTGGTAGATCAACGCCCCGCGGAGCGACGCCAGCTCCTCCTCATCACCGGGAAGAGTTGCGTTGGAAAAGTGCGAGACTCTCGCTCCAAACTGCTGCACGCTGCTAATCAGAAGTGACACCAGAATGGAGAGAACCACGAACGCCAGAAGGGCAGCCGCGCGTAAAGAGTTGCCCATCGCGGGCATTTTTCCTCTCGTGACGCACGGCGGCTACTGCTGCGGGGAAAGACGCACAGCCGCGGGCCCAGATGACCGCTCTCTCCAAGTGAAAGGGCTCCTGACTTACTGCAGGAGAAATGATCCGCTCCTTGTTTCCACCTCCCCGGGAACTCCCTCTAGAGGTGTGTCCTGGCCGCTCGTAACTTTACACCCGCTGGACAACTTTGCAGGAGAGCTCGACCTCATGTTGTCACTCAGTCCGCACGTCCAGGCTCTTTCCACAGCTGCATGTACAACAGGTACCGTGTGTTCTGTTTAGAAAAATACTGAAAACTAAAATAAAGTGAAAACAGACACAAAAAAGAGGTTGAAATGGTTCAAAACACATTTAAAATCGTGCGTAAAATGATCCTGAAAGACTTTTATTACTGAAGCCACAATGAAAAAACAACTTTTAATAGTGTTATCGTGTTCTTTATAGAATCATTGTGTTCATGTCGGCTTTCTTCCCACACTGAAGCAGAAACAGAGGGAAGTAGAGGACTGGTCACCTCCACAACATGTCCAGCAGGTGACAGCAACGAACCTTTTAGTTTAACCAAAAGGTGTTTCCAATCAACTGATGCAAATTAATAGAATCACATGATTATTTCCCCCCTCCATGTTTCCACACAGCCTTTTATTGCATATTTCTGTTGTTGCAGCTCCACTGTGTGTGTGTGTGTGTGTGTGTGTGTGTGTGTGTGTTTCGCAGATCTTTGTGCACCACTGGAGCTCTAATGAAGCGTTTTCCTCCACATCACCATTCACTGGCAGAAATCTGCCACAGGAAATTACCATGGCTGTCACCTCAGCACCAGCCACAAGCCAAACCCCCTCTCTGCAGCTTCTCATTATACATGTGTGTGTCTGGTATACACTACATACGTGTGTGTGTGTGTGTGTGTGTGGCTCTGGGTTTGTGTGTATTTGCATGTTTTCTTCCTGTGTGTGTGCATCAGGCGGAAAAGCTAAACAGAGTAAGTTAATCAGTGTCTGCAGTCAACAAGGCAGTGTAGACGTGTCAGCTGCCACACAGGCTGCTCAGAACGCTCCGTGCCAAGGAACCAACACAGCGGGCTTTTGTCGACGTTAAGGACAGTATTTCACGAAAACAAACTCGAAGGTTGGACGTGAACTTTGCAGAGAAGGTTCTTTGTAAGCCAGACTTAATCAGCTGCAGTTCTGAGTGATTCACTCTCTCATCTGTTGCTTTGAATCCGTCGGCTTTGATGTTCACTCGGCCTATTTTACTATGTATGAATCAGTGTCGAGCATCATGAATCAGTGACGCGCTCCCAGATAGACATTAGGCTTCACTGTGACTGGAGAAATAAAAGACACCTCCTGCCTCTGATTTAAAACATTACTTTGATCTCTCCTTAAAAACTTTCTCACACCCTCCCTCCCTTTCCCGATCTTTGCCTCTCATCCAATAAATCATTTCCTTCCCCTAACTCCCCCCCACAACCCCTCAGTGGTGGCCCCTCAGAGACAAGGGCCCAGTGCCATGATTCATATTTATAACCAGAGCCAGACCAGCAGCCGCCTCATTAGCAGCGAGTCACACAGGTCTGCTGTGTCACACTTTCTCCTTTCTGTGGAGTCTGCAGAGTCGGCTTTCTCACTTCTTAATAGGACTCCTAAAGTCTCTTCTCTTCTCTTCTCTTCTCTTCTCTTCTCTTCTCTTCTCTTCGTTTGCTCAACATTTAGTACCAAACTTAGTCTCTAGTCATATAAACGAACTCCTTCTTGATGCTTCTTCTGCACACAACCGATAATCAGGTTAATCAAAGCTGGAAAATGATTTTTCCAGAGTCAGAGGAAGGTGACAAAAGACACTTATTAAAAAGAAGGTTTTCTCAGTTTCAGAGGGAAATATCCCTCTCTTTGTTAACTTCTCTATACCTGCATGCAAAACATCTTTAAACCTCACAAATACGATGAGACTATGCACATTATAAGACACCCTTCATGCAAAGTGTAGACACTCCTCTCCAAATTGTCACTAAGTAAAACACAAATGCACTTCAGGATCAACATTAGGGCCTAAATGCAGCTTTCAGTCTGACCTTTTCACCCTTTTGCTAAATTTCAGCAACGAAAACAAGCATTTATTGTTGTAAACTGATGTGATTCTATATATTGTGTTTATAATAAGTCCCTACACGTCAAGCAAGTTATTAATTAGAAAATGTGGGGTTGCCAGTTTGGGGGAAAATTACAACCGTTGTCTATGTGGCAGTCATCCAGTCATGGTGTCTGTAACTCATTGATAAATGCTGAAGGTTTTCTCACCTCGTCTGCATGTGGGAACTTTAACGAGTCATTAACAGAGGCTCAAGTTGTTAATGAATGTTTTTGCTCTTGGTAAGCAAGGTTTTTTCCAACACCTTACAACCCCAGATTTGATGATCTAACAAGCACCAGCCTTCTGAATGATTTCTAGAACAACTAGTTCCAGCTTGTGGATATGTCATTCATCTTAACAGAACTTGGCTAAAACATTAAAATGCTTCTATTTTTTCCACTGTAATGCAATAAAAAGACAAAAGGAGCAGCCTCAGGCCTTCTCTTTTACCCTCATGTTCATTTCTGGGTGCATTTTCCACCTAAACTGACAATAAAAGATGAAATAAAAACAATATTTGTAGTATTTTTGTGCTTTTGTTCAATTAAATGCTTAATGTATTGATTATCCTGGTCTTATTGGCTTTAACCTGAACTGATGCTTAACATTGAGCCTCACTGTGATCAGCAACCGGAAGTCCCAATTAAGTTGCTGCCCGAGCTGAGCGCAGCATCTGTCTGCGCACCTTCATGATGCGCCTTAAGCAGCAGCTGTAGCTCCTGTCCGAGCCACTTAAGCAGCCACCGATGCGAGCCGTCCGTCACTTTGTGCTCCAGCACCGCGGCCGGTTGGACAGCGACCACGCAGCGTCCTCAGCATCACCGCGGCTCCGCCAATCAGCGCGCGGCTCGGGGCAGATTAACCCAAACAGCCTCGGTGCTGCTCCGTAGTAGCAGCCCCAGAAACAAGCCCGCACCTCTGATCCTCGTGGACTCAGTCTCAGGCAGATGGCAGGTTGAGTGTTTGCTTCACGCCATCCTGAAACCCATCCCCGCCGTGAACACCAGGTGCTGAGAGGCGGAACAGGATGGATGCTTGCGCGATAGCAGCAGAGAGCACGGACGCGATAGTGATGGATGATTCTCTCGTGGATGAGAAGGAAATTCAGGAGGCTTGCCAGAGGTGGGTTGTTTTTCTCTCTCTTGTAAGTGGATTTCTGTGAAGCTCGCTGTGTGACTTGATTAGTGGAGACATCTGAAGGATATTCGCGGTAGTAGATGTGCATGTGTTGTTGCCCTCCTCCCGGAGAGTGTCGCTCCAAATCCAGCTGTGTGCGCTGTGGACAATAGGATCAAGCACAGGAGAGGGTTTCTGCTCTTGTTAGTTTGCCATCACACTATCAGCATCGTTATTTAAACGCTGTGGCAGCGTTCATTCCTGATCATGTTTCACTGTTTGTGCTGCTGCTGCTGGAGACACAAGATGTGCTGATGTCAGCTGACTTTTAGGAATCAGTCTTTAATTGCTGCAACATTTTCAGGTCAAATATTTTTCTTGCTCTGGTGGATCACGCTGAGCAGAACTGGAGGATGATAGAAGCTGCCCTGTGCTGTTCTGTGTCTGCATGCATTCAGGGCAGCACACACAAACAGTCGACTCCAGATCTGCTCAGTGTCATCCTCCTGCCTCCGTCAAGCCGGCCCTCTGGGTCACTGATGTCACCCCGTCACTCACTTTGTTCTCCACGAGCAGCCCAGCATATTAAAAAAAAATCAAATGGCTGAGAGGCTCCAAACATGAAAGCAGGAAACAGCTGAGACCCTTCAGCTCAGCAACAGGCCACATGAAGAATCCTGTCTCGCTTCAGTTTCCTGTACCTTAAAGGCAGAGCCTCCAGTCCTTCCCTCTATTAATAGTCCACCGCTCTGGCTTTTTAAGAAGGTTAACAGTCGGCCTTGTGCATACAGAGCGAGCTTTTGTTCTGCTCTTCAGCGTGCGTGATTGTCAGTTTGGGAAATGTCTAAAGACGTGACATTGACTGGCATCCGGAGAGTTGATGCGAGAGACGAGCTGTAGAAAGGAAGAGATGGAGAAGGTGGAGAGTACGGCTGACAGTCTTTGGCCTCAGAGATGTTTCCATCCCTCACTGAGGCTTTTGAATACCTGACAGGTGACTTTAGACACTTTGCTTTGACACACCGGAGTGCAGATTGGACACACTATGCATTTAGCTCAATACTTTCCATTTTGTGCTCATTTTAACTGTAATTTCACTTGTATTCGGAGGGAAACGTTGCACCACTTCACAGCTACTTTACAAACTAAATGAGGAGCATATAAATATGATCTAACACTGTTTCTATACGTCTGTTATCACCACCTTCCCAGAGGCTATGATGTTCATTTGCTGCTAAAACTCGGTGAAGCTGAATTCCAATAACAAAAGGCGTTTCTGATATTTTGTCAGTGCCTGGCTGTTATATGAGGCCGTGTTATTTTGTACAAACTGGCAAAGTGACAAAGTGAAATAACTAAAACAAAACCACTGTGCTGTTTTGATGCTAGCTCAGATTTGTGGTGCCATCCTTCGCCCACCGCCGGAGTCCGGGAGCAGCTCGCTGACACCTTCCTGGAATTATTTTTGTATTCATCCACTGAAATATTAATGAGTTCCACAAATTGCTCTCCTCGTGTGTGTTCCCCTACGTCAGCCGGCTCCGAGAAAGCCGTTAAAAAGACGGAGAATTAGGCTTAAACACTGATATCCTGAACCGCGTGCTCGCTGGGCTGCTGAGCGGAGGTCACGTAGGATCTGGTAAAAATAATTTAAACGGCACAGAGCACTGGGGGGGATGGAGTTTATTATCCTACAGTACAGAAGTGGCTTTAAATTAGTCGGTAGTGTTGATTTTAGCATCTATAGACTAAACTAGCATGCTGTCTAACTAGGAGCTGCTGTTATTTATATCATATTACAGCTTTATTGTAACGCGAAGACGAAACTCTGAGGTTCAGTTCACATCATTTATCAGCCCCATAATCCCTCCACTAATGTACACCACCAATCCAGCAGACTACTTATCATCTGTGCGCCTTATTATGGGATGCAAATAAAACAGTGTGAGGTCAATTAGGCTCTGTTGACTTACTCTGTCGCCATGGAGACGAGTCAGGAAGTGCGGTTGCGTCCAGCCTACTGTGGAAAAACAAGCATGTGGCTCCTGGTGGAGCCTCCAGCACAGTGGCTCAGTCAGGTGGGCTTGTTTGTTCTAGTTTAAGGCTAGTTTCTGTTTACATGGTATGTTCAGCATTTTTACAATCTCGTTGGGTTAGTGTGTTAACGTTTGCTAATCAGCATTAAATACAGGATGACGGGAGTTTATTTAGTCATAAACTAAACTATCAGGAGTTTAAACTGACCTGCTGATAGTTTATCCATCCATTATCTACACACCGCTTAATCCTCACAAGGGTCACAGGGCTACACTTAGAGACAGACAACCAAGCACGCTCCCATTCACACCTACGGACAATTTACAATCACCAATTAACCTCAGCATGTTTCTGGACTGTGGGAGGAAGCCGGAGAACCCGGAGAGAACCCACGCTGCACGGGGAGAACATGGAGACTCCACGCAGAAAGATCCCGGGTGTCCTCACTGGGATGCAAACTGGCTGAGGTGCTAACCATGGAGCCACCTTGCAGCCCACCTCAGTTTATTCTCATGCTAATATTACTAATAATTTATATTTAATGTCAATCCATCCAGTTGTTGCTTTAATATTTAACGCTTTGAACCCCAGGCAGGTTCTTGCCTTCTTTTGCTCCGGTCACATTAATTGTGGGCTTATTTAGCATCATTTAGTAGCGAGACCGCAAAAAAGTCCAGTAGAACAAAGCTATAGCACCATAAATCATTAAATAAATGTAAAAAAAAACACCTGAAAGTTGAACTTCTTTCACTATTTATCTGTTAAAAACTGAAAAAACTGGAATCAACAAGAGCCCCCAGATGTTGGCAACACTGGAAAACAACTGTGACTTGTGATTTTTATCTGCTCTGTGTGGACACAGCCTGCAGTTCAGCCCAGTTTGGCTGTATAGTCTTCTTATAGTGGTTAACTGGCTACGCTGAGGAGCACATCACTTGTTGTTTTACAGAGTGCAGCTGAGAGATGAGATGTTGAATTAAGTGTTTTTGACACAGTATCTTGATTTCAAGCTTAGATTTGGTTAATTTTCCAGGAAAAACAGCACATCACACAGAATTAGTTCAATAAATACTAGAAAGCTGATTTTTTTCTGTATTTATAGTTTTTCACTCGAGGGTTTCAGAGGGTTAATTACAAACATGAACCTCACACAATAAGGAGATCACCAGTAGGACTCATCCTCTTCAAACCATGACTATCCATCCTGTCAGTCTATTGAACAGATCTTAACATATTTCATTCTAACATGGCGGACCAACACACCGACCATCCGCCGCTGCCGTCCTCAGAGCAACGCGGCTAACGTGGTTAAAAATAGACGTCTTCTCCTTTATGTTCTCTGGAGAGCTCGCAACACATACTGTAGGCATGAGAAAGGAATCGGCTGCAAACTCAGAGGGCAGAAGCATATCATTACGTGCTCCACTCCAGGGTTCTCCTGCCTGCTGCCATTACCCATGAGTCACCCCTCAGTCTGCTGTTATCTGCCCAGGACAGCCGCCTACCTCTCCATAACGTGATGACATGGTGACACGATGTGAAAATAGCCTCTCATTCTCCCCCTTCGTCTCCCTTTCACACCCTCCTTCCTTCTGTTTTAATTGGCCTCCCTTACTTCCAGCAGCTACCCACAAATCCATTCCTTACCTCATTAGTTCTGCCGGGCCGCTCGATTTCCTTCAGAATATGAGATGAAATCGAGCCAAGAAGTACAGTCGGGAAACTGAGATGTCGCTCACTGTTTACAGGCCCAACTTTTGCACCTTCATTTTAAAGGAAGTTTGTCGCCTCTTTCGCGGCCACCTCTCCGTCAATCTTCTCTTCTTCTTCTTCTTCCTTCTCCTTCTCCTCAGCGAGATCCCGGCGGTTTCTCTGTGCCCCCCTGACAGCTCTGCTGAGGCCCAGTTGACAGTCATCCAGTCTGAAGGGGAGCTGTGTGACAGCTGCAGCAGCCTCGGCAGACCGTCTTCCTCCTTCCAGCTTTATCACCAAGTATGCCTGAACGCTGGCTGTGCTGTGTGTTGTTTAGGACAGATATGCTCATTAAAATGGGGTTTGGATGTGACAGGCGGTGGCAAGTCACTCAAAACACTTGAATGACATCAGAATAAATTGTGTCTATAACATACCTTCTCTCCTCCTGTAGGTCCCCCAGAGTCCTCAAACCGGGGCTTACGATTCGCCGCAGCCCCGGAAGTGTCCCCACTGCAGCCACCACGGGCCGATCAAACCCAGCGTCTGCCACAACTGTCATTCAAACGCCGCTCATGCAGAAGGAGGTGTGGTTGTGAAAGTGGGCCACAGCTGCAGCTCTGGCCATCAGGCGTCCCGTCACGGAGCGGTGCGATGCCACTGGCTGCACGGGTCAAACGAGAGGACGCAGAAACCGAAGCAGCGGCATGTGGTGACAGTCAGGTGTGTGATAGGAAATAGGCTCCTTCTGGTTTCTTACTGGGAGTTAGATCAACATCTGCAGCGCACAACGGTTCAGCATAAAGATCATCACTCACCTGGAAATCTCAGTTTTAAATCAACACATCTTGTTGGTATATTCACACAGATTACCAGATGGCTACGTGTCAGACTGTTTCCTGGTTATATCTGCTTTTAAAAAGGGAAACTTGTGGAATTGGAGTTCGACAAACATATCAGAGAGGCTGCATCATTCAGGGTTACTTCATCTCAAATCATCAGCGATACTTTCTGCGATAAAGTTATTTCAAAAAACACCAATCAACCCACTTTTTGCACGTTTCTTTGCACACTGAAGTATCACCCTGTGTGAACTATCACACATAAAAGCCTGAACTTTCACTGTAAATGTCAAACACATTTCTTTAACAAAGAACTCTATATTTTGTGCTATAAAATTGTCAGGCAAATCAGGTGTTTTCTCCTGTTTCTGGTCACCTGTGCTGAACTAATCATCCACTGCTTCATATTCATGTGCGATAATCTTCACATCGACATCCTGCCAAGAAAAATGAATCAACAAGTCTTCCGAAATATCAAAACAATTCCTTTGAGGACGCCGAGTGTGCCGTGTTGAGTCATTCTAATGATAATAATAATGGTAGTTTTCTGTTATTAATAACCATTTTTAATTATAAACAGGGACGGAGGACTTTACTGGATTCTTAAAAAGTAAGCGTGAAAATCTATTTTCTCTGAAAACCCACAAGGTCCTGCATGTCTCTGTTATTTTGACAGCAGCTTATTTTTTATTGGCTGCTTCTGCTTCGTCTGTGGTTTCCTGTTTGGCAGCTACTCACAGGTGATCGTGGACTATCCGTTAGCGGCTCTGCTGGGTTGTGCAGTGCTGCTGCTGGGATGCTCGCTGGCAGGATTCTTCATCGGTCCGCTGCCAGACTTCTCCGATCCGCTGCTGGTGAGTCTCAGACGCACCGACAGAAATCTCTAAATCTGAATCCTGTGGTTTCAACTCGCTGTGGCGTCTCACCTTTAGTCAGAGCCACAGAACGAACCTCCCTCACCACCTCGGGCTGAGCGTTAATTACTGTTTGTCTAATGACTCATGATGTCGGCCGCATCCATTTACTTCAGTCTCATCTCGGATTCAATGAGCCGCGTTGAATTAGATCACACTCGCTGTCATCTTAATTAAATACATCTCCTCACCTTTTTGAGATGCGCGCTCGCAGGATAAACAGTGATTAAGGAGCGATTCTGACGATGCAACATGCGAATTAAAACAATGCATCATTAATGAATCGTCTGAAATCATTTACACAAGAACACAATATGATAATGCAAAAAACTTGACCTGCTTTCATACAAAAGCTTCCTCGCTGATAACATCAAACACTCATTAAGCAAATACGGAGTGTTTTTTATGCTTGTTCAGACAACATTATGCGACGCTTGTGATGCTGATTTATTCAGGGAGCTACCGCAGTGCATTGATTGGAATCGGCGTCCACGCTGTGTCTTCAGCTTTGATGTGGGTTTGTGTGTGAACGTGTGTGTGAACGTGTGTGTGTGCTGTGTTTACTCAGGGTTTCGAGCCGCGGGGAACGTACATCGGAGTTCGCCAGTCCAGCTTGTACGAGCTGCAGGAGAACACGGGCCCGGGGAAGACTCTGTCTCCTTTACCACAGCAGCTCAGCAAAAGGTCAGCGGGGAGTTTTAGTAGGATGAAGGGCTTCTGTAGAGGGAGGCTGCAACACACATAAAGGCTGCAGAGATCGATAGAAGCTGGACAGATACAGAAATGATGGTCAGATTGGTGCTGCAGGATCACGAGAAGCTGATGTTGTTATCAGTGCTAATGCCAACGGATACCCAACAACAGATCATTAAAAAACAACTCTGATGTCAGTGATATAAATCAGATTAAACCTGCTCCAATCAAATTTGATCGTTTGCAATTACTCAAATGAGCATTTTAACGTGAACGGCACTGCTCATAGTGATGAAATGCCAAAGAGATATCCCCCATTTTTGTAGTTCCTTTCACCTTTACGACACATTTAAACATAATTAGGCTAATTGTTTTGGTTTTCTGGCCTGCAGCTGGTGCTGGTTTGGTTGAATCATACCATCCCATTAACCCAAAGCAGGTTCAATTCAGTTTTATTTGTATATCTCACAGTGCTTAACATAGTAAGCAGGAGAGCATCTAAACCATATGGAGCCAAATGCTTTCCAAGAAGTAGATTGAAAACAAGAAGGAGATTGAATATTGCACAACTCCAGTTGCTAACGTTGCAGCATGTCTGCTGGATGTGCAAATAAGCAAGTGTTGGATAACATCTTTGCAACATCAACTGAAAAGCTGCCAACGTTGTGTTAACTGTGCTGCCCCCAAGTGACCAAATAATCATGGAACTTTTACATCATCTTGTTTGGAACACAATACATGTATTTAAAGACGCTGAGAAACACATCTGCTTGTGTTTTCTATCAGTGCTCGGGTTGGTGTCAGTAAAGACAGTAGCGGCGGCGGCGGCCAGGACGCCCCAAGGGTTCGTATCAAGAGGATGCTGGCCAGAGACTCCTCTCTAGACACCTTCCTGTGTGATGCTCCAGGTGAGTAAATCCTGCTCAGTTCAACTCTTCCCTTCTCGGCTGAGACAACAACAAACGTGTCGGATGCGCAATCAGCATTCGAGCAACTTCCTAAAACTGCATGTCAAAAATAAAAAGGCAGAACCACGCAGGAGTAATTAGCAGCCGCTGCACGCATATGACAAAAAGTACAAGATAAAAGTGTCGGCTTATCAGTTAAGTACAAGATTACACAAACCTGTGAGATAGTAAGGAGCTGTGGATGGAGGCTTTAAGTTCAAAGCATTTTGTTGAGTGCTTTTTTCTCGGGAAGGTTATCCCAGATTTTCGTCTTTAAGCTGTGCTTTGAAACAGTCTGCTGTTAGATCAAAGACTGTGCTTCTGTTTTCCTTATAAAAGACAGAAAGCTCCTTAAATAGATTTATTAGCAAGTCCAAGCCTTGAGGTCTGCATTTTACTGAAGAAGCCCAATTTCTATTCACCACTGACTGACGGCAGGAAATAAGCACAAGAAATATGCTGTTCGTCTGCTTTTATGGTTTATGAACATCAAAAATAACTTGAACGAGCATCTTGCATCGTTCTGAATGTTTGTGCTGATGATTCACGCTGGTTGTCGTGTTCATGTATGTTAACTCCATCTGGCTCTCTCCACGCAGACGAGCGTTTGGCCCAGCTGGTGTTTCGATCAGAAAACGCCGCCAGTCTCTGGAGTCTGAAAGCGATCCACGCCATGTGTGACATGGAGCAATCCAGGGTTCGTTCTGACTCCTCGCTCTCTCATCTCACCTTCACCTCAGCCTTTTGCTCCCTTCGTCATCTCTTTAGTCATCACCATCATCTGTCAGTCTCGTTGACGTCTTTTTCTTCAGTACAGTGGCTGTATTCCACATTTTAAACGTGCAGGATTTAGTGGCATGCAGAGTGCAACCAACTGACAACCCATCCATGACGTTTTGCTTTCCATGTGTAGGAAAAAACATGAAAAGGTCCCTCTCTAGGGCCAACGTTTGGTTTGTCTAATCAGGGCCACGGCAGAAACATGATGGTGCAACATGATGGGTCCTTCTCTCCAAATGAAAGAGATAATTTTAAGATAACAAAAACAGTTTGTAGTTAACACGGACTTTATAGAAAAGATGGACGTAGCCACCATGACGCCACCCATCGGTTTGTGGACGACGACTTTTAAAGACTCAAGTTTGGAATTTCGGGCATTTCTAAACTTGGATGGGATGAGTTAGAGGAATCTCCAACTCTGGTCCTCGTGAGTTACTGTCCTGCAGGTTTTAGACGTTTCCACACCTGACTCAATTAATGGCTCTCCAACAGCTTGTTGTCAAGTTCTACACAAGTCTGTTAATGATCCATTAAACTGAGTCAGGTGTGGAAACGTCTAAAACCTGCAGGACAGTAGCTCACGAGGACCGGCGTTGGAGATCCCTGAGTTAGAACGAATCTGCATACGCTGCTTTTTGTCCATTTTACTTTAAATGGGACCCCAATTTAAAAAATAAGCATCGTGCTGTTTTGAAGAAGAATCAAAACTAGCAATTGAGACCATAAACATGTCAGGAAAATAGGTAACAAATCAAGTGACAACAACAGCCATTTTGGTTGGACTTCTATTCAATCTGACTTATTTTTCCAACCAGAGGAGTCGCCGCCCTGCTGGTTATTAGAAAGAATGCAGGTTTAAGGCATTCAATTCTCACCATGAATTCATTATTATAGCCTCTGGTGGTAACAGGTAACACACTAATGAGAACATAATTAATACTATTTTCCACTTCTGCCCATGGATCCCCCTAAACCCGACACACCGGCTCTTTAATCCTCTGCTCCAACAACAACAACAACAAACAAACCACTGTACGCTATCTTGTGAAATTAATTCCTCTTTTGTGGATTTGTTTCAATACTGGGCATGCATTCAAAAAAAAACCCTCTCCCTGGTCTGAATCAGATTCGCTCCCAGGCCCAGTTCCAAGACCTGTGCCAGCAGCATGTGAAGGTGGAAGCCGAGGGGACGTCCAGAAGCGGCTGTTGTCCGAGCTGGTCTCTGGGGAATTACTTGGCAGTCCTCACTAATGCCTCCAGCTGCCTCAGCCTCACCTCACAGCAAGTACTGGAGCTTTCTTCCCATTTAACAAATTACTGTGACAAGCAAAGTACCTTATCAGCTGTAATTATAAACATAGGCGTTCTGTAAACAGTGCAGTGCAGCAGCCCGTCTTGTTTATGTACCACAGTGGTGACGGAAAACAGTGCTGAGCGACAAAAAAACTGGACTTTGAAAACTGTAGTTTGGGAAAACGATCCCAGTTGAAGGTGACAAGTTTTAATGGCACCTTGCAGTATTCATTGGCAAAAAGTAAATAAATGGGTCTAAAATGAGATAGAATGAACATAAGTGGATTTTAGGTAACCAATTATCTGAAGTCATATTAGGAAGTTTGTGGTGTTGCTACAGTTATAGGTTTGTATACATTTTGGTGTTAGTACTGCTGACTTATTGTTTTGCAGTATTTAAAGAAGTAGCTCAGAGTTTGGGGAAATATTCTTGATGAAAAGACCGATACCACTGTCATGTGTGTTAAATATGAAGCCACAACCGGTAGATTAGCTTCATTTTTTACGTACCTTTGCACCATCTGTGCAAAGGTACAAAAAATAAAAAACAAATGTAAATCCACCTAACAATGCTTCTAAAGCTCAGTAACTGACACAGTATAAGCCACACAAAAATACAACAAGAGGGGTTAATGTGCTGGACGATGAAAAGTGGCATCAACAGTCTCTTCAAAGCAAATTTCCGAAAGAGATAACAGGAAAGTGGGCACAAAAGTGGGTGAAGTAATTACTACTCAGCCCTATCCTACTGTCCTGTCTGCAGTTTATTTTCCACATTCTGTCTTTCCCACCAGGTTACCGAGTCCCTGAACCTTCTGCGGAAATGTGCTCAGTACTATCACGAAGGACATCTCGTGGAAGGCTGCGTCGAGAGACCCAAACATGGCAGCTGCTCCTCCGTTCCCTCCCGCTGCAAACAGTCCCGTGTGGTGTTCCAGATCCTGCACTTCCTCGTCGACAAAGACTTCCTCGGCCCGCAGACCGTTGAGTACCAAATCCCGACGCTGAAGTACAGCCTTCTGTTCCTCCCCGTCAACAAAGGACAACACATGATGGAGATGTACATGAACAACCTGGAAGGCCAGGATCTCACATACAATTACACGACTATCACCGGCATAGACTTTGGCATCAAGCAGACCCTGTTCAAGTACTACCTGGCGAGGGATTCGGTGTACCCCATGCTAGCGGTTGCATCTCTTCTTTTCACGATGGCTCTTTATCTCCACTCTCTCTTCATCGTAGCATTATCTATAATAGCAATCACAGGCTCCCTCCTGACCTCCTATTTCTTCTACAAAGTAGCATTTCGTCTGACTTTCTTTCCTTTGGTCAACCTCTCTGCGGCTCTTATTCTCTTGGGAAGTTGCTCCAATCAGGTTTTCATCTTTACCGACTTCTGGAATCTGCAGCTGACCCAGAACCCGTCAGCCTCCCTGGAGAAGCGAGTGAACCGAGCTCTGCAGGAAGTCGGATATTTGATTTTAGCGTCAGGGTTGACCTCCAGCGCGGCATTTTTCTCCGGTTATCTCAGCAGCATCACAGCAATCAGATGTTTCTCCATTTATCTCGGAACCGCCTCTTTCATCAGCTCCCTGTTGGCGTTCGTGTGGCTGCCGTGCTCGTTCATCCTGCGTGAGCGCTACACGAAGTCGTCCTCCGCTAACCCCGCGGCGCAAGGATGGAAACCCTGCTGCTCCAAAAACACCGGTGGCTTCTGGGACACGAGCTCACGCAAGAGATGCCTCTTCAGCCTTGGGCAGAAGTTGAGAGAGTTAAAACGGGGTCTCACGGACACATCCAATTTACTGTTTCTGAAAATCCTGCCTTGTGGAGTGGTAAAGTTTAGGTACATCTGGGTGTGCTGGTTCGCCGTGCTCGCAGCCGGGGGCACATACATGGCGTGCATCGACCCGGGCATGAAACTGCCCACCCTCGACAGCAGGGTCACCCAGCTTTTCCGCTCCAGTCATCCATTCGAGAGATTTGACTCAGAGTATAGCCACATGTTCATGTTTGAGAGACAGAAAAATGGAGAGGATAAGCCTGTTACGTTAATGCTTGTTTGGGGTGTCAAACCAACCGATAATGGGGATCACTTTGACCCAAGAAGCAACGGCTCTCTAGTTCTCGACCCAGACTTTAACATGAGCCGACCTGACGCTCAGGTTTGGTTGAGGGATCTATGTGCACGGGTCCAGAACCAAAGCTTTTATTCCCCTCTGACCCCCGAGGACAAAGACGTGATAACAGACAATATCTGCCTCGTGGAGCAGCTAGTACACTGGGTATCCGTCAGAAGGTGCTCGGACAGCGATGACGCCCTTCATTTTTGCTGTAATGACATCCCTTTCCCCTACCCTCCCAACGTTTTTGAGAACTGCCTTAGTATGATGCTGGCAGAGAGGTACGCCGAGGGCCATCTGGCACACAGCGGAGGCCTGTACTTCCAGCCAGATGGCAGGGTCGCTGCCCTCGTGTTGGCATTCAAAACCACATACCTCTACAGCTTCAACTTCAGCAAAACCAGTGCTTTTTACAGAGAAATCCTTACTTGGTTTAACAGAGAAATATCAGGAGCACCACAAGGGCTGGAGAACGGCTGGTTCATCAGTCAGCTGTCTCTTTTTGATCTACAGCAGTCTTTAGGCTCTGAGACTCTGGTCGTAGCTGGCTTCTCAGTAGCTCTCACATTTGTTTTGCTGCTCGTAACCACTTGGAATATTCCACTGAGCATATATGGGACTCTGGCTGTAGGAGGCAGTGTGTTTGTCACAGTCGGCCTCCTTGTTCTTCTTGAATGGCAGCTGAATGGCATTGAGGCTCTGTTTATATCATCCGCCGCAGGGTTGTCTGTTGACTTTATCGCTAATTATTGCATATCCTACAGCTTAGCTCCTCATTCAGACAAAATTGGCAAAGTAGCACATGCCACTAAGAGGATGGGCTGTCCTGTAGCAATAGTGTCGGGAGCGTTTTTCTGCATGGGGATTATCATGCTACCTGCCACGGCCTTGCCGTTCAGAAAACTTGGGATTTTCCTGTTTTTGGTGAAATGTGTAGCGTGTGGGTTTGCGACCTTCTTTTTCCAGTCGCTGTGCTGTTTTTTCGGACCCCAGAGAAACTGTGGAACGATCTCGCTGCCGTGTTGTTCAGACCAGACAGACGCCGTGCTGTCCTCTTGCTCTGAGCCCGGTTCTTCGTCAGCCTCGGCCGCTAATGGGGCCTTTGGCAGATCTAGAGCGAGGAGGAGTTATGACAAAGAAGCAGCCGGTTACCTCTACCCCAACCACCAACGTCAGCACAGACAGAAGCCACCCGGAGGAGGAGGAGGAGGCGGCGGGAACCGAGGGCCGGAGCAGTACGAGCTCCAGCCTTTGGCTTATCGACTGAGTGACAGCTTTGAGAACAGCACCTGCACCAGCAAACTGTCCAACCGGCCCTCCGTGCTCTCTGATGAGATCGAGTACTCTGGGAGAGATGAGGGCAGGAACAGCTTGGACGGGGAAAGCGAGGAGGTCTGCAGTCATCAGCATAAGATGGGCCAAGCGCCACCAGCCCTCCAGACCTCATCTCCTTACAAAGACAACACCCTACACCCGATAGGCCTGGCACAAGCAGATGTAGCTAAGGACAAGCTGCTGTGTAAAACCTGCAGGGGACACAGTGTTGAGCTGAAGCACTGGAGCAATACATCCTTCTCCTCATCTTCAAGCATCGAGGAGACCATCATCAGCCAAACGCTGGAGACCACCGACCAGCCGTCTCTCTGCAAAGGTGAAAACACCGCAGGGGAGAGTCACTATGGTCACCACTGCTCCCACAAAGGGCTCTCGTCGCAGTCTCAGAGCTCCTGCGAGGGCCTCGAGGATTCCTGCGAAACATGCCTCAGCGACATCGAACCGGGGCCTTCAAACCTTCAGCAACACGAGGGCGAGGCGGAGGTCCATTTACAACCGGGACACCTCAACGGGAAGAGAGACACGCTTCGTCTCTCGCTGAAAGAAACGGTTTACGAGAGCTGTGGTAAAGGTCGCACCAGCCAGAGTGAAGAGGTGGTCATTCTACCCAACAGCAAGCCCGACTTACCGGACGTCTGGATAAAGAGAGACGGACAACGAGAGGATACGTGCTGAGCAATGTTGGTGGAATCTTTGCAAACACTGTGCATTAGTTGCTCTTAATTTATATTTAAAAAAAAATAAAAGGAATCACTGTACTTAGAAAAGCATATAGACCTTACAAAAGAAGCTGTTATGTTTGTATAATGCTCAAAGGAAATATAAGCCAACTGCAAACGTAACATGTGACAGCATGTTTGTCTAACGTCGCAGTTCAGGTTGTGTCGGTGTCCGTTACAAACAAGGTCAGAGCACGAGTGTTTCTTCAGCAGAAGGTCAAATCGAGGCGTGACTCGTTCGACTGAGCGTTTTCGAGACAGGAGACAGCTCCGCGTTCAGCCACGACTTTGCACCAATATCACTTGAAAACGCAGCGTACGGTCGACACCAAACACCACCGAGTACCGCACCTGCAGCCTGCAGAATTTACTTTGTGCCTGGAACTTTTTAAACTTCTGTACCTGGATTTTAACAAACACAACGGCAACTGTGTGCACCCGCTGGCCTTCCTCTATGCTGGAATTGACCCCCAATGAGCCATATACATTCATGGACTTGATATCGAAATATAAATGTGAGACATTCAGAGAAAGACCTGCATTGTGTGTGTGTGTGTGTGTGTGTGTGTGTGTGTGTGTGTGTGTGTGCAGCGTCACATACAGTTTATAAGCATGAATCAAACGCATCTGGAGCTGCAAACAGCGGTGATCCGACTGCGGTGGAGGTTTTGCTCTCTGTGCTGATAACATGTACAGTTTGTCTTTTGGTGTAGAAAATCAGAAACCTACAGTTAGCGGTGTGTCATTAGTGGTGTCATGGCTTGCTTTTAGTGTTTCACTGTCAAAATTATAAGTCATGCTGTTTAATCTAGTGTCAGTGCCAAAAAAATAAATAATGTAATGTTTACCTATGTAATAATTTTAAAAGGGCAAAAAGGGTTTCTTACACAACACTATGTGAGTTTATACGCTGTCGGCAAATTAAGGTGCAAACTATTCCAGGGTCTGTGGATGTCAGCATACGCCTTAGCCTTTGTAAAGAAGCAGGAGCTCTAATTTCTATTTCCAAAGCAGTAATTACACCATTGCAAGTCTCTGCATCGACAGCTAATAATTTAAACAAGGACCTTTTTTTTGCTCGGTTGTGGGAAACTCCGACAGGTAACTATCTAAGCAACAGGCAGCCTTTATCCACGGGTCCTCCCACAGCTGAGATCAGTCGCTTGTATCTTCTTGTATTTAAAATAACAGTATTTATACCATGAGCAGCAGCATGTGTGTCTTTCAACGGGTTGTTTCATTGGCTGAAACTGTGTGTTTTGTGCAAAGGATGTGTCCCTGGAAAAGCTAAATAAGATGTGTTTATGGTCCTTTAAATCAAAAAGGAGTTGAGACCTTGATGAGAACAGGTGTATATGAAAACGTGCCTACGAGCAGGGTTCTTCTCAAGCTTTCTCATGTGAGAAGTGTTTGACATCTTGACTGTACAATCACGAGTCTTCAATAAGCCTTCACTGTAAACCACTCAGCAGAACAACCTGCCTTATAGATGAAAGAAATGATTCACACGCTTTCTGTCGACATGAATCAGTAAAGGTCACCCAACACGATTATTTACAGCTGTCTGTGTTGTTCATTTTTCACAGAATGGAATAAAATAAAACATTTATTTTCCTGCCGTCTGGCTTTTTTTTATTTATTTCAAATCGTAGCTGCTGTACCACACGCTTTACAGGATTTAAGGATGAAATTAAAACAGTCCTCTGATTAAAATGGGAACAAAACTTCATCTTCAACCAAAGTTTAAAGCAAAAATACAAATGAGGAGAATGTTTTAAAGAACTGTGAAGATGAAAAAGTAAAACATCCTCGAGTATCCCGAGAGCCAAACCCGTCAGCAGAGTTCATCGGGCTCTACTCGGCTTCCACCCAGTCGTCTTTGGCCCAGTCGGGTAAACTGGTGGAATATTCAAAGTCAGGTCCTTTGTAGCGCAAAGCGTGGAGATACATAACGAGCTCCTTCTCCGTGGGGTCCGGTCGCACCAGTTTACATTCACTACACAGGTGGTCTCGGCTCCCCTGAGGAGTTTTCAGAGCGGAATCAGCTGCCTCTGTTTGATTTCCATTTGAATTGGTTGATAGAGGGCTCTGAGACTCTCTGACTGAGGTGTTCTTAGTGTTTTCTGTCTCAGTGCTATCAGACTTTTTGTCTACTTGTGTCTGACAGCTTCGTCCACTCTCATCGGGTCCATCGGTTCTATCTGTGTTGTCAGATATTTTCTTTTTCTCTGCCTCCTGTGTGACCCCGATGCAGTCATCTGTCATATCTAGCAGGTTGAGACTTTCCTGAGAGCGATGTTCTTCCACCAGGGCCTGCAGCAGCTCGTCGTCACTCTTCCCTATATGGCCCCCCTTCCCCCTGTGAGGACCCCACGCCGAGGCTCCGTATATCGGATCATTGATGATGGGAAAGCCCAGGTACTGGAGGTGCACTCTGATCTGGTGAGTGCGTCCAGTCAGGGGCAAACAGCGAACCACGCTTGTCTTTCCGTTAAAGCTGAGCCTCTGGAAGACGGTTCGGCAGTCTTTTCCCTTTGGGTCAACTCGGCAGAGGCCGATTTTACAGGAAACGACCAGGATGGGCTCCTCGCAGATCAGCTCGCCCTCCGGAAACTCCCCGTCCACTCGGCACACATACTCCTTTTCCAGCTGGCAGAGAGAGCAAATGTAGAGCACTTTTTAAAAACCCGGCCGACACGCTCACGTGCACTGCTCTCTAGCTGGAGGTCCTTCTCCCCTCAGGCGCGCAATGATGATGTCAGTACGTAGTCCAGTCAGTGCTACGTGTAGTTTAAACACTTGGAGTCTATAAGCTGTTAGCAGACAATATGATATCTGTTTATTTATTCTAAAATGTTCCTCCTGCTCTTTTTGATAATTATATGCATGTTCTATATTTAATGTAATATTTTATTTCGTCAGTGAGCGTGCTTGCTGCTATTTTTTTGCTGGAGCTAATCAAGAAAAACCTGTTTTATTACAGATATTGGTGACTAATTGTCTTTTTCTTTTCCTCACTCAATAACTTATGGGTATACATAAACATGCATTCTTGGGGCACTTGATATTTGTACATATATGTCATGTGCATCCTTGACTCTCTCTGGTGACATTATGATGGATGATGGAGGAGATGAAAGAGTTTTTATTTGTCACATGCTCGTACAGTCTGTGCAATGAAATGCAAAGGGACTGTTCCTCCAGGCTGTGCAAAGACAAATGACATCATTGTTCTTTAAGAACTAGAAAAAGCCACAATGTCATAAATAATAGGGAAGTGCAGATTGTAAAGCTAAACGGCATAATTATCTAATTCCTTTGTGTCAGACCATCATTGATTTATGTTTGTAATGGTCACGTAATGCTTTGGCAGCAGGAAAAAGGCTTGAGAGGAATGCGTAAGTAGTACTGAAAGTTTTTGTTTGTTAAGTTTGTTTGTTTTATTATGTACACTGCCTTTATTTGTCGTGTTAGGGGATTAGCGGGTGGGCATGGAGTCAGTTAGTTGGATGAAAGAACAAGGAAGGGAAAAGAAATGGCAGAACACAGAGAGGGCAAATCTTAAAACGCAGTCATTCATTTACTTTAGCTTAAAGGGACGACTGCAGGTCCAACCCGTCCTGAACGTACCTGTCTGTCTCTCACCAACTGGTCCAGTTTCTTGGATATCTCCAGCGTCCTGGCGAACAGCAGGACTCCAGAGGTGAGCCGGTCCAGCCTGTGGACCGTATGCAGCTCCGAGACACCCCGCTCTTTTCCCAGAATGAAGATCACCGTGTTGTGGCGGAAGCGGCCACAGGGGTGGACGGGGATGGAGGCCGGCTTATCGACCACGAGCACTTCACCGTCATCCACCAGAACCTTCAGGGGTCTGCCGACTACAGGTGGCTCGTGGCGGTGCACGGTGTTCTTCATGAGGTCATTGTTCTGTGGAGAGGAGGGAAAGATTCAGTCTTTTTGGTGAGACCATGTGGAACATAAGACCATTCAGCATCAGGTGACTTTTAATTCTTTGGACGACAGTATTCGGACTAGTTACAGCTTTAATGACATAAATGGTGTGTCTCTCCTTCTATCACCTGCAAATACATATACGGTCCTTACAAGACTTGATGTCTACTACACCATAACGTATGTCAAAGATTAGCCTATGTGCCGATTCATTGGTAACAGAAGTGACCAAGATCTAGGTTTGGCTTCATTACCTCTAAAAATCGCAGAGTTTTGTTTCCTGTTACCTACATAAACACAGCTGTCCATCTGTTAACAGGATAAAGAAAATATCTGCGCTTGAAACATCTGTGTCAGGACTGATTTGTTTTGCTTGTTTTAAGGTTTTAAATAGGTTGGCACCACCTTACTTATTGGAGCTCTTACGCTCGGAGCACAGAGCCCAAACAACCAGATGTTTTTTAGATCCAGGTTCAAAAATCGAGGTGATCGAGCCTTTGCAACAACGAATGTATGGACCAGTTTACCTTTAACCACTCAGACTTCAGAAAGGTTAAGAGACTTGGGTTTAACTCCTGTTGCTTGTGAATGTGCTTTATAAATAAATTTGCTTCAGTCAGTATGACTGGACTTTGTATGGTTACTAGGGATGCACGACATATCAGCGACCACATCGGTATCGGCTGATATTAGCGTTACTTCCCATATATCGGTATCAGTCCGATGAACAAATCTAGCCGAAGTGAAAAACCGATGATTGTCTAACATCAGCGCCTTCGTCTCTACATTTGATATCGCTGCTATTTCACAGATGTTTTTGCTTAAATGGTCCTTTAACGTTAAATATGCTAAATTATGTTAAAATGTATTTTACTTTTGTTATGTAATAAAGAACACTACGTGGTCTAATTTGGGCTTCTTCTGAACAATTTTCTCACAGTGCTTACTTATACTAATTTATACTAATTTGGTGTGAACAAAAATTGAATATCGACATCGGTAATATCGGTTATCGCTGATATCAGAAATCTTAATATCGGATATCGGTATCAGCTAGACAGTTTAATATCGTGCATCACTAATGGTTACGTGTGCTATTCCCAGTGCAGGAGGAACAAACTGGTGATTTCCTATGTTATTTACAAACTGATCTGACTTTGTTCCTGAGTTATTCTGACATTAGGAGCGCATAACAATCACACATGAGGACGCGGTACTGACCCTGAGCACCACAGACAGATCCTCCACAGGCGTCTCGTTGAGCCTGATGCGCCCCTCTTTGGCTGCCCTCTCATAATACTCCACGGACTCCGCTCTGAACTCGCTCCTGAACACATCCAGGAGGCTCTTTCCAACCCACCGACCTTTGCAGTAGGTTTTAAAGTCAAAGTAATACGGATGAACCTTCCGGAGGCCACCCTCGAAGTAGTAGGACGTCTCGTCGAAGTGCTCCTGGTTGAAGCCCACACCCGGGTTGCGTCTCTGCGGCGGGGGGATGTATCTCTCGCCCGGACGTTGCTTCTTCCCTCCGGCTCCTCTCCGCCTCTTACCTCGGCCACTTTTCTCCTTTTCGTCTAGCTCGTCGCTTTTGCGTTTGCCAGTTTCTGTCGCGTCTTTCGTCGCGGTTTCCTCCTCGGACACCGGAGTGTTTACGTCCGGCGGTGTTCGCGTGTCGGTAGCTGCTGCCTCCATCGTCGAGGCGCTCCTCTGATGGCGTAAGGACTTAAAATGACGGCTTTGAAATGTATTAAAGTTGTAAAACGACGTAACTTGACCTACACGACTGATAACGTTCGTTAGAGGGGAGAATAAAGACAGTAAACCTCGCGCGGACACATTCACGTGCATGACTCTCTAGCGAGAGGTCCTTCTGTCCTCCGGCGCACAATGGTGACGTCAAGTGTAGTCCAGTCAGTAAAATATGTAGTTCAAACCCACCATATCGTCTTCTACGGGCTGTTAAAGGTCTTAGCAGCTGTTTATTTATTCCTAAATGTTCCTCCCTGCTCTTTCTGACAACTATATGTATTTTCTTCACTTAAATGTATTTGAAAATGATTTTATTTTGTCAGTGATAATAGCTTGCTGCTATTTTTTTTCTGGACAAAGCTAATCGAGAAACCTCTGTTTTATTAAAAATATTGGTGATAATTTGGCTTTTTCTTTTGCTCACTTAATCACTTATACATAGACATGCACTATTTTGTTACTTTATATTTATTCATATATGTCATGTACATTCTTGATATTGGATGGTGGAGGAGACTCAAGATTAAAGAGTTTTTATTTGTCACATCCGCATACAGTATGTGCGTGACAGTAAAATGCAAAGGGACTGTTCCTCAAGGCTGTGCGATAACAATAAGACATCATTGATCTTTAAAAACAACAGAGAAATAGAAAAACCCACAATAGTGGGAAGTAGAGATTGTGAAGCTAAATGGCATAATCATCTAATTCCTTTGTGTCTAATGATTATTGATTTATGCCTACAATGGTCACATAATGCCTTGGCAGCAGGGAAATAGGGTTGAAAGGAATGTGTAAGTACTACTGAAGGCTTTTGTTGGTTAGTTTCTTTGTTTTATCGCGTGCATTGTCTTTATTTGTCGTGTTAGGGGAATTAGAAGGAGGAGTGAGTTGGTTGGATGAAAGAAGGGAGAGGGAGGGACGGGAAAAGAAACTGCAAAACACAAGAATGACAACAATCACTATTCTTTTCATTCAGTGGGTTTTATTAATAAATCTACTGTATACACATAATTACAATATTTGTATAGTCTCAACTCCCCCCTGCTCTACAATAACAACGTCAAACAGGACGAACTCCACACATACAGTATACGAAGTGAGCAAGAAGCCGTCTTACCACAAAATATATTACTTTGTTAACTGACTAAATATGTATTAAAATTCCTTGGCTTGTACTCAGGTTCGTCTTTATGCATTACTGCATTCATGACAAAAGTGTTCCAGTAAGATTACACAATTAATCTGAATTCCCCACAATCGTCCGTAACAACACATCCTGTTGCTTTTCAAGATGTAACGGCAAACATGTCAAACTCCACAACCTCTCCCGTGAATAATGCTGTGTACACCTGTTCTTCTGTCAACCAAAATATTCATATAACTCTCTATCTGACACCGAGGATTCTGGGAACAGGGCAACCAGCAGATTGCCGGTCACTCATTCAATCACTCATTGTTTTAGCTCCCTGGGAAGACAATCTGGTCAAGCAAACAGAGCAAGATCCTCCTTGTACGTTGCTAGGTGACAACCCAGCTGAGCAGGAGGTTGTTAAGACAGGAGCTCAGTGAAACCATGAGGAGTGCTACACGGCCCCGGAGACGCAGCACCAACGCCACCTCCTGCAGGGGCAACCACACTGCAGTCAGAGCTCACCTCTGAGGAGAGAAGGAAGGATAGCAAGTGGAGGCGACTCACTGGTTTTGTTTTAGGAATTACAGGTTAAAGGTGTTTCTTACCCCGGCCACTGGCGCCTCTTGTCAGTCAGGGGGACATACACCACTCCCATCAGAGCTTTCTTGAGGAATGTCCCATCACTCTGTCGATCATACTGTTCCAACACCTGACTGCCACCATCGGGGCCCACAGGGAGAACCAACCGCCCACCCGGTTTCAGCTGCTCCAAGAGCTGCCATAAGGAGAGAAACAGAAAAAACACGGGTTTTATACAGTTTAAGACATGAATTTAATTGGTTTGGTGTGTGAAAAATGTCTTCACAGCTGAATGCATTGGATAAAAGCATTTTAAAGACCTTTGATTGTGCAAGATTACCTTTATAAAATGATATACTGTGAATGTAACTTGCTGTGCCTTGTTTTTTATTCTTTTCCTATAAATTCAACTTCTACAAGAGTACAAGCCAAACGTGTCCTTACAGCCTTAGGAATAGTGGCTGCAGCTGCACCCACATGAATGGCATCATACGGTGCTCCGTCTGGAAAGCCAAGTCTTCCATCTCCCACTGTGGACGGATGCAGGTATGACTTTTATAATGTTTTGTAGCTGTGCAGCTTAAACATCAATATTTGAAAGATGCATGAGTTTGACGCCTCCGGACTCACCTACAAGTCTGATGCGTCCAGAGGAGAGCAGCTCTGGGTCGTCAGCTTGCACATTTTTTATCGACATTTGCACCAATTCATCAATGTGTTCAATGCCGACAACTCTACCACTGGGTCCCGTCTGCACACAGCAGAAAAATGCAGCTGTCGCACTCAGTCATGTGTTTTATGGTAACTCATGGGCCAAAACATCAAGCCACGGATAATATTTTAAAGGAGACTTGTCAATTTTATGTACAACTCACCATTCTTGCAAAGCATGCGGTGAGATATCCACTTCCTGAACCTACATCCAGTGCAGAGGCCCCTTCAGTTAGTTTGTCACTTAACAGCTCCAAAGCATGAGCATGCTGTCAAGTAACGGCAACAGGAAAACGTTCAGTACATTGTGTGTGTGTGTACACATATGGAATTATTAGGCCTACCTACTGTAAAATACATCTTGGTGTCTGACAACACAGTTTAATGTTTGCTACTCACCATGTGTGGCGCACTGATGGTCGCCCTGTAGCCTGTAATGACATCATATCAAAACACAGAGTCACAGCACACATCTATGATGATGAAATACCTATTACTCATTGACCCAAGTACATGCTATCATTTTGTTAAGTACGTATGAGTTTCTAAAGTGTGGCTGGATTGTGTACCTATGGACTGAGGAGAGTCTGCATAAGGATAGTCTCTGGAGTAGATCCCTCTGTCAGTTTCCAGCATTGCATTGAACACTCTGTCGCTGCGGATCACCCCATGATCTGGAGGATAAAAGAGGCAATGACACTGAACTGAATTGATGACAGATGCAAGTGTCCAGGATGAACTCTGTGGTGCCAAAGTCTGTTTTCAGGTCGATTTGTGCTTGTCCTGTCTTTAAACTAAACATAATTCCTTCCCAGTCAGTTATCTCTGCAGCACAGAGGCGCCTCCACGGGGGGCAACAGCCACTACTGAACTCTCCCTGGAGCCACTCCAGATCCAGAAATGTATTCAATGAGTGCGTGCATTTACACACAACACAATGCAGCGATAACTCATCACTTACTTCTAATTATAGATCATCCCTGACATGGGATCGATCAGGATATGACAGCAAACTGTGTATTTTTCTTCTCCTGCCACACACAGAGCAACGGTTTATCAGCTCCAGCTAAATCATTCGCTGTATCTTGAGCTCCATCACAGCTGGATACGTCTGATCCATTTGTTAAAATCAAAATATTGTTCTGTCATATCAAGTTTTTAATTACAGAGATTTTCCACTTAACAGCTGCATGTTTGCTGCAGTTACATAATCGAACATGATCACTGTAATCATAAAAGTCACTACCAAATTA